CTAGCATTGGACCAGAGTGTTGGCATCGGGACATAGTATACAGTTAATGAGACGAGTTTGCAATGACAGTGTAAGAAAACTCCACTAAACCTCGGAGAGAGAAACCCTCCAAGAAAGCTGACAAAATAACATTTTGCCAAAATATGTTTCAGATTGTTTCACCCAAATCCCATGCTAAGTTAAAATTTCCACTTCAACGTTGATCTCCTCAATGCTGATTCAAAGATTCTGACCCAGAGCTTTATTAATGCATTTGTTCATTTCATCTCTGAAATGACCTTGTGGATGTTTCAATTCAAAGGGAAATATTTGTGAGGTGATCGTATCGGACAAAATGAAAATTAAATTATCACGTGAAGCGAGTCTGGAGTATAACTTCAAGGTAAATTAGGACGTGATGATAAGAGAAGGAACAAATGCAAATCGGTAAAGTTTGACTGTAGGATTGATTTGCAGTCAGTGATCAATACTTCAAATTAACTCCTAGCTAGAGGCATCATATCTAAAAGCCTGGAATCAATTAAGAATTAATTTGAAATTGAAATGTGAGGTTAATTGTATGGAGATTTACTTTTCTTGTCAACTTTGTGATCTCATGAGGTCTGAATAATATGGTAGCGTGAAATTTAAATGGGATAATGGGAGGTTCTTCAGTGAACAGCTTGGAAGTCTGACAGTGAAGGTTTTATGGAGGTGATTAATGAAAGATTTGCACTGTGCATCTACTTGGGAATTTGGAAGTACATTCATTTACATGAGTTGACATAACTTCTTTGGTGCAATAAGACAATGCATTACATAAGCACTACTTCAGAGTCTTTTCAATCTTCTCTAACAGAATTAGGAATTCATCACTGAACGGGAATTTTTAATTTGGCATGGGATTCTGGTGAAATGTTCCCAGTGACATCGGTATTAGACCAAGTAATCTTTTAAAAATTTAACCTAATTTTCTAATCAACCTGCTCCAAGATGTTATAACACCACCTCTGGAGCATGTGGGACTTGAAGCAGGACCTCGTTGTTCAGAGGTAGGGACACTACATTATACCTCAAGACCCCTTACTATGTCAGTCAGCTGCCTCCTTGATATGGACAAAAAGCAACAGCAGGTTTTGAGCCTGGGGAAGAGGTTCAGCTCTTAATTTTGTTTTCCTGTCTCTTCTTTCTGCATTAGTGGTTTCACATGGTTTCTCTTAATTCTTTTTCAATGTATCTCTAACAACTTTTACAGACTGTGTTTTTGTTTCTTGCTAGTTTATTCTTTCTCTTTCTTATTTTCTCTTTCTTTATTTGTTTCCTAGTCTTCCTTTCCTGAATTCTAAAATTCTTCTAATCTTCTGGCTTCTTACATTTTGGCAACTTTATAAGCCTCTTCCTTTGGCCTAAGCCAACCTTTTCTCACTGAGCAGTTGAGTTTGAAGGAAAAATAAATAAATTGGGATAATCATACAGCAGGTGGCAATGAATTCTCCATTGCAAGATAACAATTCATATTTCTTTTCTTACCTGGTTACAAACTTTTGTGCATAGAAGTTGCCTTGGATCACAGAGTGTATCCAAACGGTTCTTTTCGGATTCGATTAAGTGCAGTTATGAGAAGGCTCGACAACAGCAATTTGCTTAAATATGAACATTTATTGAGTAATAATAAAAGACGATAAAAAAGGAACATTTATTAACTAAATAAAAAGAATGAAAAAGAGAGGGAAAAGCAATAAGCCTCACGTTCTTCTGCCAGTTGAGGACCCCTCGATTGAAGACTGGTCTGGAGGCTGAGGTTGTTCCTAGCACTGTTTGCGATCCCAGTCTGAAGTGAAGCCCAACTCTTGGAACAAAACTCTGTCTCACTTACAGTGTAACAAACAGCCAGCAGAGACAGCAGCAGATACAGAAGACAAAACTGCTGGCTAGTACAGAAAACACAGCTACAGAAAAACATGCTGCAAGTGGCTTCTTCAACCTGTAAAGGAATGCTCACAGGATTCACTTAAGGTCATGTAGCTTGTCAAGTATCATCATTAACTTTTCCAGCCTATTTTCCCATCCTATACAATCTATTTTCTCATGCAGCTGTTGAATATCATCATTAACTTTTAGCCCTTCGGCCCCTCCGATACAGAAGTGAGGGATATCACACATGGAAATTAAAACTTGTCCATATTAATTAAAATTGAATTATGTTTATTGTCACATGTACTCACATGAGTACAGTGAAAAGATTGCAAGTCGTCACTTGCGGTGGTCACTTAGATACAAAGGTACCTTGGTACAGAATCTTAGTACAAAGCAGAAAAATAAAGAAAACAAAGGTAAAAAGTTAAACATTACAGTACTTACTAAAAAGTAGAAAAACAAAGAAACACAGTTAAAAGATGAGCACCACTGTCCATAAGCGCCTAGTCATGCTAGACTCACACTCCTCACAAGGGCTCAACCACCCACACTCCGGGTTCACCCTCAATCCCACTGCCACCCAGGTTGCCTGGTCCCACTCTCACGCTGGCCACCCTGGGATGCCTTTTCTCACTCTCACGCTGGCCACCCTGGGATGCCTTTTCTCACTCTCACTGCTGGCCACCC